CCCCCCCCCCCCCCCAACTTAACTGTCAGACCCTGCTCTCCTTGAGCACAGGGAAGCAAGCAGCAAATCTGAAAACACTTTGAAAAAATTTAAAATGCATCAATTCTGGATTAACTAAATCTATGGATAGCCATAGTAATCTGTCTATATGCAAATTACTACAGGCATGTTTATTTCAATCTGCTGCAAGTTTTAATACAGCTACTCCATAAACGCACTTTTGTATCTACTTGTATTTTTTTTAATTTTTCATATTCCAGGTCAAATTAGCCAAATCAGTTCTGAATCCTTTTGATTGAGCAAAATTCAATCATTCAAACCATCCCAGACTTTTTAGCCTGGGGCTTCACAGATACCCAAATCCGTTGTTGGGCATCCTACATGCAGGCCCAAGCCCAGAGGCTTGGGGTTCAGATGCCCCCGAGTCTCGCTTGACCTTAGCCAATGGCCACAGGAGCAAGTTAGGGAGGAGTCCTCAATTTCCATAAAGTACGCATGTAGCTGCAATTCTCCCACTGGAAGCTGTTCACTGGGAAGCTAATTACATGACTGGTAAGGTGTTCTGTCCACAGTGCATTGGACAGGGGTGCACCCTCTACTACACAATGCCATTCAAATCCATCTCAGTCTGGGCAACAGACCTTGACCTTAGCCCACAAGAGGCTGACTTGTATATAGTACAGACCATGCATGATATTGATCCAAAGCCAGAAAAGCTTATGATTTACCATATACTTTGTTGGGCTGGGCCCCAGCATAGTTGACAGCATTTCAAGCCATGGTGACCCTGTAACTCAGCAATGCTCAATATGTGTGTGTATTCCAGATACCCCTCCTTCCCCCTGCCCCCCCACAAAGGATCCATGTGCTAATTAGCCCCCCACATCACTGGAACCTTGTCATGAGTCCTAGGATCCTCCAAAAATGTATATTTAGATGAGGCATAGGTCAACCTGGTTTGGCTTCACCTCACGGAGGTCAAAGTAACACTAATCATATTTGACAGGCTGAGAGAGGGGGTGACAAGGATTCTGTTTGGGACCCTGTTTAGTGATGTTTGCCATACATTTAAGGCTGGTGAAGAAATGAGCATCATTGGAAATAAGAAAAGCACAGCTTAGCTGTGGAAGTGAAGAGGAAGCCAAAATGTAGTCAGCGTAATGGCTCACTGTGACTTCAAAAGAGTCGACACTGAGGGGGGACTGGGCACAATGGTACTACCATATACCTTATTCAGATGGGCTATACTAGCATGTTCTTGTAGTAGGTTCCCATCAGTATCTTTGCCCAGTATGGGCTATGTACTTTATAGTGTATATATGGGCTGTATACATTTAATCAGTTTCATAGTTTCCATTGCTGAGCACATGCTGCTTTTTGCAGCAGCTTAATGATTGACAGAATATTTAATGCAGTTTCTTTGTATGCAAATATAAGACAAAGGGGGGTGCATCTTGTATTCAAGTGAATATGGTATATACACACAAAAAGTGTGTATGTGTTTGTCTGTAGATATAGATTATAAATAGGTATATCTATAAAATAGAGGGTCACAGAATTTATATTAAACGTATGTTAATATATATATCAAGAGGGTCATGGAATCTTTCTTCTACACATGCACCCAAGCATACACATTTGTGGCCATTATTTCCTGTTCACATACGCATACGTGTGCATGTTTTTGGCCATTATTCCTTGTTAAATAGGAAACAGGTTCTTAGCTGACAAACTTACTGGTAAATGTTGCTTTTTGAATGCTGACAATCACTGAGCTGCCAGTATTTGGCTTCTTGTGAGGTGCTTTGGGATACCCAGAACAGATTTATGGTATAAACTAAAGTCTGTTGTGGTTGGCACGATCTTAACCCTTGCTGTTTCTGTAGAAGTGTTCCAGGAATCATTTCAATGTAATCCTCTATAGCAAGTGTTGTTCTGTTTGTCTTTCTTTGGAAATATATGTGCTGACACTGTCAGAGCTAAATAGTTTAGCCTTAACAGTTTGATGTCTTGCTTCAGTAAGAGTTGATTGATCTGCTGGGAGTTATTCTGAAAGGTCTTTTAGGAATTTCCTCTTAACTTCTGGCTGCAGGAAGAAAATATATTCTTTCTACCTTTGTTAGTACATTATGGCCTCTTTCTTCTGAAAAGCATCTGTAGTACTGTGAATGAGTGAGCTGTACCCCAGTGAAACCCTTTTTTGCAATTTTTTTTAATTATAAAAGTTGGGCTCCTATGGCAGAGCCTCACCTCACTTTTCAGTTTAATATATTCCAAAGACAATTCAGTCGCCTAAAGACTTTGACCATTGTTAAAACAGATGAACCTGGTAGCTTGGACTTGTACAGGGGTCTCTTGATAAAGGATCTGGTGAGTCTTCCCGCACTAGTGCTGAAGGAGAACTGCACTGTTTATAACTAATCAGTTCTCTAAGTTGAGCAAATGGTGACATGTAAATGGTGGAGAAGTGAAATCTTTTTAGCCCACACTCTCACATACAATGTAAAACAAACATGCAAGCCCTTGATAAACAGCTACCCTCTTTTTTTTTTGGATAGGGAAACTATTAAAATGCTTAATAGTAAACGATCCCCTTCCCCACCAAAGGAGGACATCTGTTTCTAACTTCAGCTTTTTATTTTTTTATCTTTCATTTTTTTTGTTGGTAAATCTCCCAGACAACAGCAGTTCTGTAGAGAGTTTAAATATGAAGGAATGGCAGGACGGGCTAAGGGCACTTCTACCGAACATTAACATCAACTTTGGTGGACTGCCCAATGCTTCTTCCCCCTCCAACGCCAACCACAGTGTACCAACGTCCAACACTGCCACCACCGACAGCCTGAATTGGGACAACCCTGGCAGCTGGATGGACCCCGCAATCATCACAGGTAACCGTTTCTCACTCCTTCAGCTCCACTGGCAACCATCAAGTGGGTATTTGGCACAAACTACAGTACAGTATGCGGTGGTCTCTTCCAGCTTCCATCCACAAAACATCCACGGGGTCAGGAATTCCTGTGGAACAAATAGGTATAATAAACCATCACATAGCCCTTTCCAGTGCATGCCCAGGACCTTTACAAGCAGTCAGGGTGCTCAATGCATTTCCTCAGGGCCATGTAGGTATCCCCTCTGCTAGATGGTATGTCTGGTATGTGCACTGCTGCTCCTGAGGTGGTGAAGGCATTAACTGTTTTTATGTATGTATTTTATTTTAAAAGGGACATACTCCACTTGTTTATAAAGCTCTCTTTTATAAGGCTGTCTGTTTGCACATCCCTGTTTAGAGAGTGGGAAGCATGATTCAAGAAGGGAGAACAGCAAGCATGCAGTGTGCTGGCAGAGTTGGGTTTGGTGAAGTTGAACAAAAGCAGGGACTCAATCCTTGTGATTAGGTGGCTTGGCAAATGTATAAGAGAACCTGTACTTAATGAAGAAAAATGCTCTTAGGAGAGAAATACTGAATAAGAGTTTAAATGTTTTGTGGGAGAAGTGAAATACGTGTGTATAAACTGTATAAAATACTTTTTTGTGCAAACTAAACTTTTTCACCACTGCCGTAGGTTAAATGACTTCCTTTATACTCAG